ACTAAGGCTAGGGAACATGTGGAGTAGTAAAGACCCCATTCTCTCTCCTCAGCTGCAGGTGGTGGCTACACTTCTGGTTAAGGATTGCTGTAGGTTTTGCTGCAATCTCTCATCAATATCTGCTACAAGGTGTCTGTATTCCAAGCAATATCTGCTACAAGGTGTTCCATATTTAGTTGGAAAGGAGGTTGTTTCTCAGAAAAAAAATAGTACAGATGATAAAAAATATCTGTTTTAACAGGAGGAAAGAAGCATTTTTGTCACCTGAGGCTCTGGAGAGAGATGACCAGCTTTTCGCCTCCCTATTCCCAAAAAGATGACGTGCTGTACAACCTTCACTTCCTTGAGCCTCAGTTTCTGTGTCCAGTCACCATAGTAACCAAGCCCCTTCTGGAAGAGAGCATCATCATGCCATACCATCAGCAGACATGGCTCTGCCTGCCCCAGAGCTTCCCACGGGAGGAATCGTGACAAACCGACCACGAAGAAAGCGTAATAACATTCATAAAACGCTCCTGGAGAGAAGCCAGCAGAGCCCAGGCTTGGCCTAGCTCAGGCAGCACCAGCGCCAGGCAGGGAGGCGGGCATAGGGCTCCACTGCCTCCAGCTGTGTCGCGGGGAACAAGGGCGGGAGGAGATGGCGAGCGGGCCGTGGTGCTGGCAGGGGCCTCGCAGCGGAGAGACGGACCCGCTCCTACCATGGGGGGCGGGGCTCAGCCAAGCCGGGGAGGCGGACGCTGCTCCTAGCTGCACCCCCGTTTCTCTAACCCAAAGGGGCTGAGGCGGGGCCCTGTGGGGAAGCCGGCGGGGGACACGGCCGAGCTCTGGACCGGGAGGCTCTGCCCAGCTCCGCCCGCCCCGCGCTCGGAGGGTCACTGGGACGCCATGGGGGCAGCCCAGGCCCTGAGCCAACAACCGGGGGAGCTCGGATCCCGCCACCGGAGAACAAGCCGGGCCGCAGAGCGCCCGGGGAAGAGATACCTGCCCTCGCGGAGGCCCCGTGACAACACACAGGCGCCAGCAGCCCAGGGCCGCGGGAAAGAACCGTCACCTGCCTGAACCTTCGGCCACCACTTACTTGTCCTTCTCCTTGTCCCGGAGCTTTAACCGCCAACATTCAAACCTGCCCCGCCTGCCAATGGCAGGGCCACGACGTGATACGTCACCACGTACGGAAAGAGACACGCTCCCTACATGTAACCAGGGGCAGCACCTAGGGATGGCGTCATCGACTCGCGCTTTGTCACATGATCTAGGTCGGTTTCGGTCACATGATCGTGCTGTGGGCGCGGTGCGGGGAAGCCGGACAGTGAGGGGTTATCGGCGTGCGCTCCCTCTGGCGGAGCTACGGGCCTGGGCGCTGTAGGAGGGGGCTTCACCGCCATCGGTGCGGCGGGACGGGCCCCATCAGCTGAGACTGCGGGGCAGCCAGTAGCCTGCTCTCGCCCCGCCGCAGCTGCAAGCGCCGTGGGGTGGGGGTGGCCTCGGGGTTCAGTGGTCCAGGCGCTCACGGGACGCCGCACTTTCTCCCCGCAGAGCCGCTCCCGCGATGGACAGCAGGATCCCCTATGACGATTACCCTGTCGTCTTTCTGCCGGCCTATGAGAACCCGCCGGCCTGGATCCCTCCCCACGAGGTCAGTGCTTGGCTTCCGGCGCTCTGAAAAATGGGGTGCTGGGCCCTGGGGAAACTCCTTACAGCTGGAATGATGGTTCCTCTGAGAGCTCGGTTCTGGGTGAGCTGCCTTAGCTTAACCTGGGGGAGTCTTCAGAAATTTCTTATAAACCTTTGCAGCTGTAGGTGGTGCCAGTGATTCTCTTAAAATGAGCTAAACATTTACTAACCCTTTGTCAGGTTGGGTAGATTGAGCGGCAAATTAGATGGAAAATAGCTATTATAATTGTCTGTAACCTTTTTAACATAAGCATCAACTATTTTTGTTACATATTAATTCATTTTACACCAACAGCTTGCTCTGCCTTACAGATGGCTAAGACCACCAGTGCTCTGCCCCAGGAGCACGTAATTCAAGGTCCTCATCCTACAACCGCAGATGGACTTCTGCATGGAACTCAATTAAAAACAATGGGGGTTCATATTAGTACAGAGATCCACCCATACTTATTGCAGGACAGGGGCCTAAATAAGAGCTACGCCTGCTATAAATCAGAAAGCTGAACTAGAACTTACAAGCCACTACTTAATGTTGCTAGAAACTTCCATGAAATAAAATATTTAGTGAAAGCCATGTTTTGTTTTAAATCTTGTTTTGCAGTGTTCACAGTATTGAGCCTAGTACAGAACTCAAAGGTGAAATTCACTAAAACCTCAAACTGCTTAATCTGATCTTTCCATCCAAATAACAAGAAGCACAAAAAGTAAACAAGATCATAAAGTTTATTTTTGCTAGTTATCTCAGGCTTAATTAGTGACAGAAGAAATCTGTTTTAAAAGGATACATTTTAACTCTCCAAATAATCTTTTGAAACTTGCCCCTCTGTGTGTTCCTGGTGTCCTCTTCCCTTCTGTTTTAATAGTGGTTGCAGTCCCCCTTTATTATCATGGAGTTCCTATTTGCAGCAGCTGCTGGGGCTTTTTGGCATTGATTTGCTCAGATTTCTGACCAGCTCTGGCTATCACAGGAGCATCCCTTGAGTAAAAATGGCAGTCCTCTGCCTTGCTTGGGGCCACCACACCCAGTCTCCTTGACTAATGCAAGGAACCTGTTCCACCCATAGCCATTTCTTGGCACAGCATCACACGTTTGAAAGGTGTTCTAGAGCAATGGTCCCCAACCTTTTTCGTCTGGCCAGACGATGAGCCATGGAGGAGCATCTGCCGAAATGCCGCCGACAAGCAGCATCATCCAGAGGTGTTGCCACCGAAAATTGGCGACATTTCGGCGGCGCCTCTGGATGACGCTGCTTGACGGCAGCATTTCAGCGGATGCTCGTCCACTGGCCAGTACGTGGGTGCACTTAGATGCCCCGGCGCCCTCGGGCACTGCGTTGGGGACCCCTGTTCTAGAGGAAAAAGAAACCACGTGACCTACAGTCCTCCCAGGTCCCCCATCTAGACTGCATTGATCTACAGCAATTGTGCCATATCCCGTGAAGTTTTGTTGTTCCTATTAAAGGAGATGCTGAGGTTACAACTTTATTTGGCGCTGGCCCTCTGAGCTAGACAGCGGGGTCTTTAGGTTTCCTGGGTGGACCAGAAAGCCTAATTTTTGGGGTAGGGATGATGCCTTTTATAAGGAACTGGCTGAGAAGATATGTGGTCTGCTTAGGCCCAGTCAAAGCCCTGAAGGATCAGAGTCTAACCCAGGGGTGAGCAAACTTTTTGGCCCGAGGGCCACATTGGGGAATAGAAATTGTATGGTGGGCCATGCTCACAAAATTGGGGTGTGGGGGGGAAGTGAGCGCTCTGATTGGGGGTGTGGGCTCTGGGATGGGGATGAGGAGTTTAGGGTGCAGAAGGGTGCTCCGGGCTGGGATCGAGGGGTTTGGAGAGCAGGAGGGGATCAGGGGTGCAGGCTCCAAGTGGCGCTTACCTCAAGCGGCTCCTGGAAGCAGTGGCATGTTCCTTCTCCGGCTCCTGCGCAGAAGCGTGGCCAGGTGGTTCTGCACACTGTCCCATCTGCAGGCACTGCCCCTGCATGTAGGAGCCAGAGCAGGACCAAGCCGTGGCTTCCAGGAACTGCGTGGTGCAGCCCCAACCCTGCGCCCCATCTGGAGCGCCAGAGTGGGGCTGAGTCACGTGGTGCAGTCCCAACCCTGCGCCCCGACCGGAGTAGGGCCAAGCCGCATGGTCAGGTCCTGACCCAGCGTCCCAGCCAGAGGGGGCCGGCTTAAAATGGCCCACAGTTTGCCCACCCCTGGTCTAACCCCCTGATTCAACACATCCTTTAATATTGAATTATAGTGGTTTAACATGTGATGCTGAGTTCTGGCTAGCACTGCCCTCCCCTCACAGCCTGCATCCGACAGCAGAGATCCTTGCTTGTCCTGGATGGAATAAGGCTGTCACACTAGTTGTAGTGTGGTAGCGCACACAAGCTCTATCAGGGTCCGGTCTCCATTGTGTTGGGTGCTGTACAAAAACATAGGCCAAAACAGACCTTTCCTGGAAAAGTGTACATAATAACACAAGTGGGGGTAACAAGCAAATGGCTGTGTATGTTTTGGGGAGGAAGGGAAGGGTGATGGTAATAGGGATGAGATCACACTGTAATGTAGCCTTGCTGAGTGTTAGCTGGCTTTGATGGATCTCCTTTAGCTGTACATAAGTACTTGATATCAATGACTTGAGGAATCCCTGCTGGCCACCAGCCTCACCACTTTTACTTGGCAGCATACCATAGGTATCAAAAGTGCATCTTGAGCAGTGATAGCATGAAATTCCTGTCTGGGGTGTATAAAACTCCTTTAGGGGGATTATGTTCCCTGCTTTCAGGTCTCTTACAGCAGTTGTTGCATTTTGCAGAGAATTGGCCACCCTGACTACAATAATGAGTTGACCCAGTACCTGCCTCGCACTATTGTGCTGAAGAAGCCTCCTGGGGCTCAGGTGAGAACTCTGAGGGCATGGCACTAGCCTTTTCTACAGGCCCAGGTAGGGTTGACTGCTGGTTGAGGCCTGGCATCAATGTGTGCAGTCTGCTGCTTTAGTATGTTCTTGTTCTGCTGTGGCAGGTTTGCTTCACTCCAGGGCTCTAAGGCACAATATGCCCCATGGCCTCAGGGGATGGGAGATATGGATCATACACAAATACTGTCTTCATCTACCGCTTCCTAGAGAAGCTGTTGGCAGTGAAGGATCAGTTCAGGCTCACCTCTCCAGCCCCTTGTACAACAATCTCATTCCACTGAGAGGTGAAAAGTCCTGCTTGGAGACCAGTCCATGTAGAGAGATGTTGGTGGGAGGAGGTAACCCCACACCACACTCTGAGAAGGATATCATCCTTCTGCACATGCTAAGGGAGACATTTTGGAGGCAGTGGCAGCGAGTTGTATGGGCCTGTGCTCCAGAAATATTCAGAGGACGGGCTCGGCTCCACCAACGTTCAGGGGCTGGTCTCTCCCACCATCCCTGCATGCCTCCCCCAGAGCATCTCCCAGTCCCTGAGCGATTTTAAAAGGGCCTCAGGGGCTGCCGCCACCACCAGCAGCACAGCGAGGCTAAAGCGTCTTCCTTCCCGCCCTCACTCCATGCAGCACACCACTCCTGGAAGTGGCTGGCACATCCCTGCGGCCCCTGGGAGTGCGGGTGTGTCTCTGTGCGCTGCCCCCGCCCCAACTCTGCCATTGGAACTGTGGCCAATGGGAGCTGTGGCGGTGGTGCCTGCAGGCAGCAGCATGAGGAGACCCCTGCCCAGGAGCCACATCACACCCCTCCCAACCTCCTGCCCCAGCCCAGAGCCTGCATCCAAACTCCCTCCCAGAACCTTAGGCAGTTGCAGGGGCAGACTTGGACCCATTTTGGGCATCACCAAAAATTATACAAACCTGCTGCCCCTGGGAATGGGGCTCCTGTTACCAGGGTGACTCCCTCTCCTACTTTTATCACTTGTTAAAATGTTTCCTAGATAATAAACTGAAATTGCCCCTAGAAATTGGGGGGCAGGGCATGAGAGTTCTGCTGGCCTGTTCTTGGGCGATGGCTGACACTTATCCCCCCCCCAGGCAGTGGATGTCTTGTGGTTGAAGCACAGGGTTGGGACTGAGAAAAGCTTGGGGTTAAATTCCCAACTGGGTCACTGACCTCTACCTCCACTCCCCAGCTGTAAAATGGGGATGATGCTTCACAGGGGGATGCAAGGGTTGCCATAGAGGTGCCAGTAGAGACACTGAATGCTTCAGGGTGTTGTCTGAACCCATGGGTAACAGCTGCAGGTTCTGAATGCCTTCCCCTGCTGCCACTGGAGCAGAAGTCCCAGTAGCTGGCAGTTGTTCACATTCCACTCAACTACTAATCCTATTTTCTTCTCACAGCTGGGCTTCAACATTCGAGGAGGAAAGGCCTCCCAGCTGGGGATCTTCATCTCCAAGGTACATCAGTCCCTTTGCCATTCTCTCTGCCACTTTGTCTAGCTGTCTAGTGCTTTTTGGACAAGCTAAACCAGCAGAGTTTACTTATTTGGGGCTGATTTAGACACTACCTGGAGCTCTAGCACCCGTTGCTGTGAACTACCAACTGCCAAAGGATCAGCAAGTGGGGACAACCTGGACCATAGCACATCTGATTCCAACCCCTTATCCCTGTAGCTCTAATGAACCTCAGTTCTGACCCAAACCCCATGCCCTACTGTTTTGAGGGGAGCAGAGGTGGACACCACAAAGGGGAAATATAGAGGCTGAGTGGTACTACAGAGCTCTGGGGGTCTGCCTTGACCTGTTTGGGGAGGGAACTGTGGACTAGTGGCTCTCCATAGTCTGATATGTTGGTTTGACTGACTTGACCATCTTTTCTCTTCCATTTCCAGGTGATCCCTGACTCAGATGCACACAGAGCAGGGCTACAGGAGGGAGACCAGGTCCTGGCAGTTAATGATGTAGATTTCCAGGACATTGAGCACAGCAAGGTAAGAGCTCCCCCTGCTGCTGCTAGGGGGTCATATACTGCTTGTATCGATTTGAGATACATAGAAAAGGGTTTAAGGGAAGTGAGGAGAGCTGATCCTGCCCCCTCACAGCATCACCCCAGCCTGCACTAACCTGCAGTGTGGCATTTACTTTACAGCTTTGTCTATTAGCTAGAGCAAGTCTAGGAGGCATGCTCCTAGACCTCTATTCCTAGTTCTATTCCTGACTCAGTGTGCCCGTGGGCAGCTCCCATCTCCCCACCTATAAACTAGGAGAATGATCCTTGTCTACTGTGAGATTCTTCGGTAAGAGCTCGCTCTTGATTTAAAGAAGTGAGCAACCCTAAAAGAGAAAAAGCACAGAATTGGTCATCACAAGCCTGCTATAGGATGGGTAGGGGAGAAGCCCACCATCCCTTCCTTAATATGTTATGATTCAGGCCTGACCCACAGAAGTTGAATGGATGCTAAAGCATTGCACTTAGAGCAGCAACAGTAGTAATCAGTGCAAGTTGTGTGCTGGGGGTTGGAACCTCTAGCTGGGTTTGAGGGGTGGCATGGGGGCAGGCTCTTTAGAACTAATTTCTGCCAGTCCAATCTGTTAACTTAGTGACTCCCTTGCTGCTGCTTCCAGGCTGTCGAGATCCTCAAGACTGCCCGTGAGATCATCATGCGAGTGCGTTACTTCCCCTACAGTAAGTGCATGTTAGTTCCCTCTCCCATGACTCAGCTGCTTCTGAAATCCTGATGGTGAAGCCTGATGCCTTGCATCCTAGCAAGAGACTGTGCTGACCCCAGCTAAACAAATACTAAAAAGCTAGAGTCAAACATAGGATTAGAGTAGCAGGCTGCTGATCAGAAACAATTGTTGCTTTGATCTCTCAAGATTTTACACTAGTCAAATACAACAGTAAATGGGTGACATCAAGTAACTGCATATAAACTGGTCACGTCCTAGCAAGACAAGGTTTAAACAAACAACTAACCAGCTTAAACAGGTTCTTGGAACAGCTAGATCTAGAGCACACAAGCAGCAATTAGTCTTAACTCAGGAATTGGTTCAGTAGATATAATTTGAATAACTAACAGTGGCTGCAATTGTTAAACTTTCTCAGGGGAGGAAAGGTGCCACATAGTGGTGGCTCTTTAGAAGGGAGATTTTTTAAAAAGGAGACTGATCAACATGAGCAAATTTTAAAGCCTTAGGACTCTGCATGCTAAGCAACCAAGGTACAAAGATGTAAGAAAACACACAGGTGGTCAAATGACATGTTCGAGGTTATTGGAGCCAAACAAGTATCCTGCAGAAAATGGAAATCCAACCCTAATGAGGCCATCAGAGAGAAGCAAACTATGGCAGTCGAATTGGATGGAAATTAAACAGAGCAAATAGCCAGGGCCACAACCAGAAAGATATCCTTTAAATCTGAGATGTAGGATGCCTGAGTGTTAAACCCCACAAGTCCTATCAGGAAATCAAAAGGGGTAGCTAAAAGAAGAGGATACTGCAGTGAAGCTAAGTGATTTCTTTACATCTGTCTTCATGATGGAAGGTGGTGTGAGATAGTGCCTCACCTTAGTTAAGATCAGGTGTCTTGACTGGAGTGTCAAAGGGAAGTGCTAGAACAAGCTGACAAATCAAAGGGCACCAAATCCCTAGATTTTGCTCTACTTCCAAGAGTGCTGAAGGAATTTAGGAATGAAGTGGCTAAGCTGCCAACAAACATGCCATTAAAATCAATTGCTAGAGAGCAGTCCTGTGAGTCTTGTATTCAGGCTGATCCTGGACCTTAGACTTGTCACCCTTAGTGTAGTAGCAATTTCCTCACTACTACTGACAGGACATGGTTCCATATAGAGCAATGCCTGCATTCAAATAGCACCACCTGAGCCCATTCTCTGTGTGTCCTACTCCATCAGCCACACTAATGCCTGCTTTCCCATTCCAGATTACCAGAGGCAGAAGGAGAGAACTGTTCACTGTCCCTGATGAGGTCCTCTCTAGTAATGGCTGCTCTGCCCTGCAGTTCATTGGGTCACAGCAGGAAGACTCTGCTCTCCGCAGCATTGGGGAGATTTGACACTAACCTAGATTTTCCTTCAAGTTTCAGCTTCGGGCAAAGGTGTGACTATCCTGCTGGCTCTGTGGGTCTCAGCTCCCACAAGATCCCAGCTCTGCTCTCAGTACTGATGGACCCAACCTATTCCTGTTTACACCATGGAGTCAAGGATGTGGCAGGACAGGGAGCTGGGCTCTAATCTCCAGTTTCTGGCTTAGGCACTGCACTGCAGAAGTTGATGGAGAAGTGGGGTATGGAGGATGCTGGGGATTGAAGGGTGGCTTCTGTAGCCAGACCTGTATTCATGGAGTGAGTGTCTTTTCCAGTAGGTGATTGCTTCTTTTAAAGGAGATCCTTATAGGGTGCTGCTCTTGCCCATCTCAATGAGGTGTGAGGCCAAAGAGGATGGGTCTGTATACATGCACCATGTCTGAATTAGAGCACAAAATGATGAGGCTGTGGTGCTGATTCTAAGCCAAGCACAGAGCAGGCTTTTTTTTCCAACATGGTCTCAAATGTCTTTTGCCCTATCCATCAGGCACTGCAAAATTGTACAACACTAGTGAAGCAGCTACTGCTTGCTGTGTTGGAGGGAGAAAGTAGCTGGCAGAACCTGGCATTAGGTACAGCCAAGCTGCTGTCTGCCATTGCCTAGGTAGGTGCCTCTGCACAATTCACCATCCCCTGGAGTTTCCTTTAAAAGTAGGCCCTATACCTTGTTCACAGCACAGAAGCACTTGGGAGGTAAGAGGAATAAAGTGCTCTGTGGTAAGAGAACGGGGGGAGGGGGGCAGCACAGCAGTTACTACATAGGAGATTGACTCTGCCTTGTTGTTCTAGTCCAGTGGCCACTTGCTGTAGCCTGACACTGCCATCTTCCCAAATTCTAGAAGGTGAACAAACTGTTCAGCCCCTTTTATGGACATGGCTAGAAATCCTTCCTCCCTCCCCAGCTGCTCCTTTCTAGGGCAATGGGTTGGTTGGGATCCATGGAAGAGAGAGGAGGTAACTTCAGTGAACTTTAGTATTGTGTGTCTGTCCAGCCATCTTCCTGGATTTTAAGATTAGGGCATATGTTTGTATCCCATCATGATTTAACACCCCCAACAGTGGAGTAATTCTTGGGACTGGTTTCCAGATCATGCTTGCTGTAGTCTAGCACCAAACACACACACAACTGTTCTGCTAGGCTCCTTGTGTAGCACTGCTGCTTTCATTGTTAAGCATTTCCTGCTGATGATGTGGTGGACATTATCTACTGAGGACACATCCATCATTTTGCACTATCACACCATTTGTCCCTTTACTATTCTCTCCCATTAAGATTCCCAGCCAGCTGTAAAGGGCGAGATACCTGCACTCATCCATCCCTCACGTTCCATCCATGTAAGCAAGTCACACAACCTGCTACTGAATTAACTCGATGTTGGCTGTTTATGAAGCAAAAGAGAACCCATCATGCCCTATGTGGGGAAGCTTATTGCAGTTCCTCTTAGCAGCTGACTTCTTGGTAGGAAGCACAGTAGTGGGGTGGTGTCATTATCCTCAAAGCTTCTTTGCTCTTGCCAAACAGGATCTGGGGCTAGGTCTGCCTTCCTGAGCTGGGATTCGTTCTATTGCTTTGTAGGCACCTAAAAGTCTTAATAAAAATAAAGTTACTTTTGAAGTCTGGCTCCTGTACAACATTTTAATTCCCTCCCAGGAAATGAATGTGGTCTGATGAATTGTACCCGCCCATCCCACACATGGAGGAAGTACAGTGAGCATAGCTCAATTGACATCAGCATTGGAGGCTAAAGTTATGCGCAAGACTCTGTCCTTAACTTCTGCAACTGCAGGCACTGGAAGGGACCCTTGGCACATGTAGGGACACTTTCTGACAATTGCCCACCATTGTGATTACTGGTTCAGTTCCAGAGGTGGGAACCCCAGTGCAAGCCAAGCCAAACACTGAGTCAGTTTGACTTTCTCTGACAAGGAATCGGATGTGCCACTTAGTCCCACCTGTGGCAGCTGGTGTTGTCTCACTTCTGCTGGAAGTTCTAGTAAACACTGCTGTTAGCAACACTGGGACTGTCTCTTCAAAAAGGGTCAAACTGCAGGAAAAAAGCAGCTCTAGGCCCAGCTGTTGCACCTACAGGCCCGGGTTAGCCAGTCTTCTCCCCACCCCCAGTGCTTTGGACTCAACCCAGGGAATAAAGAGTTGAAAACTAAGGACAGAACTAACACAATGACTTGTTCTCAGGAACAATCTTCTATAAAACCTAACATGAGCTGGCAGCCTCACTGCTACAGGCCAGCTGCTGCCAATAGGAATAATGCCCAGGGGACAAGGAACCCAAGGCATTTCCACAGCAGAGACGGGTGAAAGTATTGCACAGGGCCCAGGCCCTTTCCTCATACTGACCTGCCTTTATAGCACACCCATGGACACAGTTCCACTGGCCTGGAGAAGGAACACAGTGTTATCATTACAAGCCAATCTCACACCCCACAAATCCAACAACTGTCAAGATTAGTTTCTCTCTAGCTTCATCAGTGTCACCTGCTTGAGACGGCAAAATCCTGGGGGAAAGTTCAATGAGCAGTTCCACACCCAGCCTCTCAGAGCCAACACCTACCATGTATTGCGGAATGGAGAGTGCAGTGAGCAAATAGGCCTGGCAGGGTTGAGCACTGCTGTCAGCACAGACAAGTGTATTTGCATAGGGTCTTAACAGGAGACTCCAATCAGTATCACTGAGGGACCTATGGCCATAGGTCCCTGGGCTGTCCCTAACTTACCTGCACACAGATGACTACAAACACAAACCCACAGAGACAAACGCTAAAAATTCTCACTGAACATTCAAGCTGCTCATCCTATTTGTTAAGAGCAGGACCCTCAAGTGCAGCACTAGCTCCATCCATTTTACACCTCTCAGCTCCAGGACTCAGTCAACCTTACCATGCTCTAGATGTCCCTAAACCTCTGACTGCTAGAAGATGGGACTAGACAACAAGGGATGGATCACTCAAACTGCCTTGTTCCGTTCACTCCCTCTGAAGCATCTGGAACCTGCCACTATCAAAAGACAGGATACTGGGCTAGATGGATTCTGGTCTGACCAGTATGACCATTCTTATATTCTTACTAGAACTGCCAATCTCAGTTAATGCATGCGATTAACTCAAAAATTAACACTTTTTTAATGAGCGTTAATCACACATCTCTGCAGATGGGACTCAGTGGTGGCCAGGTAAGGAGGCACCTGCTGGGCAAAGGGGGTCACTGCCCAAGGCACCATGCTCAGGGGGTGCTGCTGCATGCCTCTGGGGCAGGGTGCCCCATCTCCTGCCGCCCTCCTCCACTGTGGATCCCACCTCTTTGCCCCTGGCCAAGCTGCTCCTGACTGGGAGCCAGCCTCCTGTGCAGAGTGGGGGTGTGGAGGCTGATGCTGGGGTATTCCCCTCCCCTCGCCCATGTAGCTGGTCACCACTGAGCTGAGGCCAGGGAACGGGGGAACCTGTCTGCTGCTGCTGGCAGCTCAGAAGTGAGTGCTGCTGACAACAGCTGCTGCTGGCTGAAAAGTGCTATGCTGAAAAAGACAGCGCTCTTCCATACCCACCAAACCAAAACTATTGGCAAAAATATTTAAATAAAAGGTATTCTATTATTGTTTAACAATGCTATTAAAACTGCAATTAATCATGACTTTTTTTTAATCTCATGATTAATTGTGATTAATTTTTTTTACTCATTTGGCAGCCCAGTTCTTACCACTCCAAGTCCATTTCCTGTCACCTTGACAACAAAGCCAATCTGCTCCCCTGAGAATTATTTGCCTCAGTCCCTTTCCAGCTTCACTGCTGCAGCTACCTATTACAGCACCCCATTCAATACAAGCCTGCTTTGCTAGGGTCAAGTTCAGCCCTGGGGCAACAGGGTGACATCCCGAGTTACAGCAGCAATAAACTTGGGTCAGTCTTCAAGGCCTTTCTGGGGCACACTTCTCCCTCTTGCACTGGCGTTGAATTCCTCAGCTCTGACGGAGCATCACATGAACTCTGAACAGGGAAACATGTTTATCCTCTCTCCCCAGAAGTGCCCCAGGAGGTAGGGATGTCCATCCATCCCAAACTCACTCCTGTTGCCCGTTTCTGTAGGAGGGTACTTGGTCTAATGCTAACCAGTTCTTAATGGCTCTCAGAATACACAGGCAAAACCTCTCAGACTGGGGCAGCATTAGCACTTCTGGGAGCAACAGCACAGTTGGCCAGATGCATTATGGATATCTTTACCTTCATATGAAGCAACAGATCTTGGTCACAGTACAGAAAGGACAGGAGTACTTGTGGCACCTTAGAGACTAACAAATTTATTTGAGCATAAGCTTTCGTGGGCTACAGCCCACTTCTTTGGATGCATAGAATGGAACATATAGTAAGCTAGCTATATCTATATACACACACACACACACACACTGAAAAGGTGGAAGTAGCCATACCAACTTTAAGAGGCTAATTAATTAATAGGTCATCTTTATTAATTAGCCTCTTAGAGTTGGTATGGCTACTTCCACCTTTTCGTGTTGTGTATGTATATATTAAATAAAAATAAAATAAAAAAACTTAATGTTTCATTCTAAGCATCTGAAGAAGTGGGCTGTAGCCCACAAAAGCTTATGCTCAAATAAATTTGTTAGTCTCTAAGGTGCCACAAGTACTCCTGTTCTTTTTGCAGATACAGACTAACACGGCTGCTACTCTGAAACCTGTCATAGTACAGAAAGGATCATCGAGCAGAAGGAGAAGAAATTCATACCAGCCTATCGGAGGTCACTGATAATTTCCCAAGATTTACCCTGCTCACTGCGATAGCTGTCTCAGCACAATGGGCCCCAGGTGCTCCAAGCTCCCCACGCAGCCACTGTCCTCTGTTCCCATCTTGATGGGAACGGACACCCCTCTATGCTTGAGACCTAAACATGGTCTCTTGGCTCATGACAGGAAGAACTACAAACCCTGGGCATAAAGATACATTTCCCCCCTTTAATGTAAAACAGTCAGGAAGAGTCCAAACAGAGTCTAATGCAGTGTTGCTCCTGGAAGAGAGCCAAGCAGCATCAGTTCTCAGAGCCACTGTGGTCTCCCCTCTCGTCCTTCACCTCCGACAGGCTGCTCTCATCAATGTTCTCCAGAGAGGCAGCATGCTGGAGTGCCAGGTCTGACAGCATCATGGTGGGGAGCTCGTTCTGCTCAGGATACAGCCAGGGCTTCACACTGACATTGTGCTGCTGTTTCCAGGAGGGGTATTTCAAGCAGGCCTTATGCATCTTCTTCAGCATCTGAAGAAAGCAGAAAAGGGGACCAAGAAAATGGAAGCAGCCTAGAATCTGACCACTACCAGACCCCCTGCATTTTTGTATTTACTTAATGCTTGGGAAAGGGTGGGTGCTGTGCAGTTACCTGAGTTAGGTAAAAGGGGGAGACCTGAGTGCATGGATGGAGAGACTAATACTGTACAGTTCCATACAGGAGCATTTTCCATTTGTTTGGATAAGCAATCAGTATCTTCAATACAGCTAAGGATCTCATTGTGCTTCAGCTGCCTCTCCTCTAGGAGGCAGACAATTATTAGCCCCATTTTACAGATGGAGAAATGGAGGCTGAGCCAAAAAGTCAATGTGACACCTTGGCCAAGTCCAGTGACAGAGCTGGGGACATAACCCAGGATGCTGACCCATGCTGCAATCTTGTGTCTCAACTACACCTCATGCCAAATAGGTTCCCCAACAGTTATGCCCTGCAATCCTGACCTGTGCCTTCCCCACTACGCCAAGAGCTCAGAGGATGCTGAACTTCAGAATGCAGAATCCGGTGGTCACAAGCTGGGGACCCCAAGACAAAGCATTGTGCACAGGTTTTTCACCTCTCTGATGCATCAGAGGTTGGTCATTGTCAGAAGTTGGACTAACCAGGACAGCACATTTTAGTACCAAATCCAAGGATACCTAGGATGCCCCATTCTCTCTACTGCTCAGGCCTGTACCAGGAAGTTGGAGGGGCTGGAAAGTCGAAGGACAAGTTAGATCTCCACTAACTGCCAGCCCTTTCCTCTAACCATGAACAATGGTTGATCCTTATTACCCACTACTCAGGAGCTCCTTCACTCACCCTTGGTGCCAGGTACTGGGAAGCTTTATTCACAACCCACTTTGGCAGTTTCCCTAATGCACAAGAAAGAAAGGTGGAAAAACAGAATAATTAGTGAGCCATGGCAGAAAAATGCTGTATTTATGCTAGGGTGCAACTGCACGCAATGCTCCAGCCCCTCACCAAGGTACAATTGCAAAGCTGCAAGATCATTTCCATGGCATGTTGCCAAGTGATCCTAGATGGATGCTTAGGAGGGAAATGTGTGGAAAGAAAGCAATACAATTTATGCCCTGTATAAGGGAGTAGAATTTCTGTTCACCTAGACCTGAAGTTGCCTCATCCCCTTGCACACCCACAAGGGATACAGAGCCAGACTTACCTTTGGGGTCCACCTGAGCCAGGTAAGTCAAGGTGCAGCTGTTTGGTCCAGTTGACTGCACCAAGTATCCCGCCAAGATAGAAACAGCCCTTACCAGGTCCTTTCGGGGAGGATATTGCTGTATGGTGAAATCAGACACTCAAACTCTGTCACCTTCCCTGGACTCTCTCTCAGACCTGGTGTTATACACACAGGGCAATGGGACTAATCTAGAGGCTCAGACACCGTGCCTGGTCTGTAAAGCGTTAGCTGTGCAATACATATCCCACAATAATAAAAGGTCCCTGCACATCCAAAGAGACACAGGGACTACATACACTCTAAGGCATAGTAAGGGGTGGTAGATAAACAAGTGTAGCTCAGGTTAATAAGAGCCAGAGTCACATTCTGCTCAGAGCATCCTTAATGGATTGGGAGGGACAGCTCAGTGGTTTGAGCATTGGCCTGCTAAACCCAGGGTTTAGAGTTCAATCCTTGAGGGGGCCACTTAGGGATCTGGGGCAAAATCAGTACTTGGTCCTGCTAGTGAAGGCAGGGGGCTGGACTCGATGACCTTTCAAGGTCCCTTCCAGTTCTAGGAGATAAATTAATGGAGATATCCAAACTTCACCCAGCTCATGACTGTAGCTGTGGGGTGGAGTCATTCATCAAGGAGGCATCTGAGCAAGCACTATTGAGATTCCCGTGGGAGCATGGGACTATGTAATTAAACTCTTCCCACCCCCTGACTCACCGGGTGTTTGACAGAGAAGTTGATGATCATGTAAGATTTATCCACAACCTGCCAGGATCGCAGTGTCACCACATCTCTGTTCTTTAAGGGGTTTGGACATTTCCCTAGCCAAGAAGGAAGCAAAGTCACTTCAACTCACCAGTGATAAGAGTTGCAGGAAGTGCAGTCACACTAGGGGGTTTCTACCTTGCCTGCACTTGCCCCTCGGTGAGGTTAGTGATCTCTCTGTATCCTGCCACCAAAGCCTCCCCTCAGAGCCCAGCTGATCCTTCTGTTAGCAGCCTCAACAGAGATGCCAAGGATGAAATGAACCCAGGGGACTGAACTCCCCTCTCCTGTTAGAAAGTCCAGTGGGTTGAGGCATGTTGGTGTGTGAGAAGCTTGCCCTACTGCTGACCAGATGGTATCTATTCAGGGCATACAGAATGGGTTTAGTCTTTGCTCTTTCCTACTGAAGGGCCCATCCCGTTTCCTTGACTTGTTTAACTCAGGATTTCAATTCTCTGGGGTTGATCACACTTCCTGCCGCACTCAGACCAATCAGAGCAGCCCCCAAGCCATCACTCACAGGAGTAGTAGCCCACATCAGCATTGGTGGCAAGCCGGGCAATGTCATGTGTGTCAATGACGTTCGTGTCCCACTTCCTGCGATACTCAATGTCATGCAGCACATCATACATCGTCTCCGCTGGCACATCTTGGATGTCAATGCAGCACTGCAGGCAGGAGCAGGACCACAGTCAGGACACTGGCTGGCTGGCTGCACCCGCCCCCATACTACCGATTGGAGTAGCTGACTTGATCCATGTATAGGGAAGAGCTCCTCATTCTCAGCTGGGCTCCCATTTGTGGGGAAGGGTGTCAGACAGGGTAACACTACCCCTTTACAAATCACTGGAACCCTCCACTCAAAACACTTTGCAAACATCAACCCACTGTGAGGGGAAATGATGAACAGCGAGGGAAGCAACTCACCTAAGATCAAAAACGGGGATAAGGGCAGAGAATCCATTCCAAAGTAACAATACTTATTGCCCTTGAAACATTCAGCAGAGACAAACGCAAACAGATCAGTGTTAAAAGCCCTATCCTATAACTAGACAAATCCCAGTCCACACAACAACCAGAATCACGAACAAGAAGCACATGGCACAGGCTTCCATAACTAAGGTACCACCGCACATGTTGGTGCAGAAGAATGGAGAAGGGAGGAAGGTGAGCAGAGTAAGTCAGAGCTGGACACTACGTTCCAGTCTCCAGATAGAAGCAACCAGGCAGACAGTGGAGGTGTCCAATCTTACACAGATGACTCCAGCGTGGAGATGCACAGTAGGCCCCCTCAACGGCTTGTGGTTGACCAGAATTCAGGGGCAAATAGCAGGTCTGGGAGATCCCAGAAAGAATAGCTTTCCTGTTACTGGTTCAGAGAAGCTGCACCTCTAGTTCCAATCCCATCACCCTGTACCAAACTTCAGCCACTTACAGTGGTGTTTGTCAATATGAGTCAATGATTTACAGAGAAAGCATAACTCAGACTGCAGTCTCAAGGCTGGTGCAACTCCACAACCACTCACTATGTTGTTCTATACCACATGGGCAAAGACTCCTGTGGGGAAGGCTATCACCAGGGCAGACAACTGGATAGGAAGAATAATGAATGCATCTCACTGGCCACTTTCTTGGGAAGTTCACATCAGATTCCTGGCACCCAGATACTGGAGTGACAAGTACCTCTGGGTCACAGATGTGTCACATGGCAAAGGCGAGGGCTGTGTGAATTGCATACCAGGGAAAAGGGACACCAAAGCCCATACAAGATGGTGACAATTAGTACAGATAGGCTCCACTACATATTTTAGAGTTAATCAGTTATTCTAATCCTGGCACAGGCACTGGCAAGCACCTTCTGGGGCAGGAGCCCAGCAACTCCTCTGGTGCCCAGTTTCTGTTTCCACGTGAAACGATCCCCGACTCCCCCCGCTTAGGGTCCAGGCCCAGACTACATTGGACCTCAGTTTGTGACAGGGAGCCAGGGCTACAAATAGTCAAACTCAGGGTGAGCGGAGCCTGCGGTGCCAGATCTGGGCGTGAGGCCATCCAACAACTTCCACA